AAGTATAGTGTTACCGTATTCTCAATATTGTGGTATTATTCATTCCAACCACTAAATATCATTATGGATGATAATTGTGAATAAGAAGTGAATGTAAAAAATTCAATAGGTATTTACTCTACAGGATGTAATTGAGATCGAGAAAGTAAACTATTTAGATTAACAGTATAGGGTTGTGGAAATTGTTGAGTTTTGATTGAGATCATTAATCGACCGATGCAAGAGCTCCACTGGGAAGATGGAAGCATTGGATGTCCGTTTAATCGTAATATGGGACTCTCTAGTAGTGCGCATGCTTCAAATCACACACGGGACTCGAATTCGGGGTATTCTGTATCTCGTGTGGACGCCTAAACCCTGGACCACTGAGCATACATACAAAGGTATTGGTGTCTAGTTTCAATCGATCCACGATTGGTTTTCGATAATGGTCTCTCTTACATCTAATTGTCAATCCGCCTGTTAAAATACTACAATCTCTACAAGTCCCCATTCTCATAATAATATATTCACAAATTATCCCTGAAACATTCCACTGATCATAATCACATTTGTTTACAAAAGCAACAACCAACCACTATATTTATATTTGTATATAAGTATTCCGATTTAGTTACTTCTTCAGATTTAAGTAGTAGCGAACAGAGGTCGATTATTTCGTTACGAAATAGTAACTACACTTATAAATTGCGAACACTGTTTAAATTCACTGGTTTCAATAAATTTTGAAGAGATTCTTGAAAGCAGTTTGACAGAGAATGAACATATTACCCTTCAATCACACTGTTATCAAGCATTTTAATTTCTTTTCACTGTTTAAGGAATGTGGGTAATTGACCTAAGCATCATACAACACTGCATGTATCGTAATTGCATAGTCAATTCCTAGTACTTACTTACTCAATCGCTCACTCACTCACTCACCCACTCACTTACTTACTTACTTACTTACTTACTTACTTACTTACTTACTTACTTACTTACTTACTTACTTACTTACTTACCTACTTACTTACTTACTTACTTACTTACTTACTTACTTACTTACTTACTTACTTACTTGCTTACTTACTTACTTACTTACTTACTTACTTACTTACTTACTTACTTACTTACTTACTTACTTGCTTACTTACTTACTTACTTACTTACTTACTTACTTACTTACTTACTTACTTACTTACTTACTTACTTACTTACTTACTACTTACTTACTTACTTACTTACTTACTTACTTACTTACTTACTTACTTACTTACTTACTTACTTACTTACTTACTTACTTACTTACTTACTTACTTACTTACTTACTTACTTACTTACTTACTTACTTACTTACTACTTACTTACTTACTTACTTACTTACTTACTTACTTACTTACTTACTTACTTACTTACTTACTTACTTACTTACTTACTTACTTACTTACTTACTTACTTACTTACTACTTACTTACTTACTATACTTACTTACTTACTTACTTACTTACTTACTTACTTACTTACTTACTTACTTACTTACTTACTTACTTACTTACTTACTTACTTACTTACTTACTTACTTACTTACTTACTTACTTACTTACTTACTTACTTACTTACTTACTTACTTACTACTTACTTACTTACTACTTACTTACTTACTTACTTACTTACTTACTACTTACTTACTACTTACTTACTTACTTACTTACTTACTTACTTACTTACTTACTTACTTACTTACTTACTTACTTACTTACTTACTTACTTACTTACTTACTTACTTACTTACTTACTTACTTACTTACTTACTTACTTACTTACTTACTTACTTACTTACTTACTTACTTACTTACTTACTACTTACTTACTTACTTACTTACTTACTTACTTACTTACTTACTACTTACTTACTTACTTACTTACTTACTTACTTACTTACTTACTTACTTACTTACTTACTTACTTACTTACTTACTACTTACTTACTTACTTACTTACTTACTTACTTACTTACTTACTTACTTACTTACTTACTTACTTACTTACTTACTTACTTACTTACTTACTTACTTACTTACTTACTTACTTACTTACTTACTTACTTACTTACTTACTTACTTACTTACTTACTTACTTACTTACTTACTTACTTACTTACTTACTTACTTACTTACTTACTTACTTACTTACTTACTTACTTACTTACTTACTTACTTACTTACTTACTTACTTACTTACTTACTTACTTACTTACTTACTTACTTACTTACTTACTTACTTACTTACTTACTTACTTACTTACTTACTTACTTACTTACTTACTTACTTACTTACTTACTTACTTACTTACTTACTTACTTACTTACTACTTACTTACTTACTTACTTACTTACTTACTTACTTACTTACTTACTTACTTACTTACTTACTTACTTACTTACTTACTTACTTACTTACTACTTACTTACTTACTTACTTACTTACTTACTTACTTACTTACTTACTTACTTACTTACTTACTTACTTACTTACTACTTACTTACTTACTTACTTACTTACTTACTTACTTACTTACTTAGTTGGTTTCACACTTAGCTGTAAGGACATTTATTTACTTGAGTGGATTTCTTTCATTTGCTTGAAACAGTTGCTTGTTGTCATTGTTTTGAATTTCATTCATTTTAAGGTCATATAACTATAATTACCCAAGGAAACCACAACAAAGTGTATGTATTGTGGAATAATGCAACAATTTATTAAGCAATGAATGAAATACAGTGATGCATTACTCTCATAGATTGTATTGTAAGTATTGGTTGAGGAACAATTGAGAAACATTTGATGCATTCAACTGTTGTTCACACACCCAACTCACAGCTTCTCTCCTTTCATCTCTTAACAACGATTCACTTCTGCTTATTGTTCCGTCTTCCTTAACTACCATTCACAATGTAACCCAGAACGAGAACTATTTCATTTGATTGTATTCAGTCAACACAATGGGGCAATTGTGTATTGTACTAGTTCCATTGTTCCATCATATACGATGCACAATTATGCGCATTTATGTAATTCAAGTGTGAAATTACAAATGAAAGCTGAATGCATTTTATTACAGCAGTCATCATAACACAAGTACAAACAGAATGTGACAATCCTGTGAGAACTTCAATGAATGAATGAATGAAGTGAATTTACAAAACTGTATATCACTAATAGGAAATTTTGTATTTGTGAACAATAAATACAAAATCGGTAATATGAAGTTGAGGTGAATTCAATGAGTTCACTTAAACAAATAAAGGAGAATACAATTGATGTTATCAGAGACACAATAGAATGACACCATTCCACTTCACCTCATATACACAATATTCATCTATTCATCAATTGCAACTACCATGTTTAACAATTATTTGTATTCTATTATTTGTATTATATTTCAGCTTTTGTAGTGTAATTATGTGGGTTTTGATTGAGATCATGGATAGCTCAATGAAAGACTACAAATGCAAACGTGGAAGCACTTAAAAGAGAGGATATATCTGATTGGTCAGTGTGCTCATGACATCCAACTATATAAATGCCTGGAATTCAACGGAAATCATCATTGTTCAGTTAGATCTCAAATCATTTATATACTAATCCTTTATACATTTTTAACTTACTCCAAATGACTAAACATTTATTCATTATTCATGCATACATTTCAATTCACTTTCTCGCTTGTTATTACACACAAATAAATTCAAGATCAAGTATCAATGTGTTATCGACATGTAAATGGTGTACGAACTGTAGTAAAATTATGCCTTGTAATTATTCAAAATGGATAGGTGGATGGGGACTACCAAATCAGTCATTTATAAACAACTATACTCTCAGTATGGTCCAAACTTCATCATCGTGCTTAAATGAATGTCTATCGAATCCTCTATGTTATTCATACACAAGTCCAACTGTAAGTTGAAATGAATTTCCATATTTTTGTTTAAACATATGAATGTACCGCATTGGGTAAATGAATGAGTGAGATGTAGAATGTGAATTGTGTCTTATTGTTTTAATCAGATCAACTGTATACATCTCACACTGTAGATGAAAGCGTCCAATCCCAGGACACCTTGAAACTTTCATTCAACATTTTGGTTAAAACAAAGTAATTTCATCTTCTCCATAAATCACTCAGATTATTATTCGCTTCATAAAATGTGCTTTCTATTTTGACTCTTTTATTAGGATTTACCAACACAATGCACCTTATATTCAAAGCCGATCAATCTAACTGGTGAATTATACAATCGTACCGCATTCGAATTTGGAACACGAATATGCTGTAGTAAGTTTCAATGATTAAGCTTAATTAAACAAATGGAACAGTTGTATTTCGAATTGATCACACAGAGTGTATTAAAAGGAAATGACTAGCTTACAAGAACATGCATTCACTTTAGTTTCGGGCAGCTATATTTTTCATAAACGGTCTATTTCAGTAAACATGTAATGATTCTGCTTCAATTCAGCATGTGTATACAATGATATATGGATGGGACAACAATTCTATATGACCGGTTACTTGTATTTGAATCAAGTTTGTTCACTCACTCATAGATCAGTATTGTAGCGATTACGTCAGGATCAAGAGACAAATGTGTAAGAAATTAGAAGATAGTTGAAATAATTTTGAATGAAACGAGTCTAATCGAAGTTGAGCTGTATACTCACTCCTTGATCGTTGGTCAACCTAGTGAGAGTGGTTGTACAAACTTGTTTCGGTTGCGGAGGTTAGTTTTGTGTATATGGATCTCGATAGCGTCAGCAATATGCGAAACACGGACTCGTATTTAATTTAAACATTTACTAACAAATAATTTCTTCCACAGTCTCTATTTGTTTCATACGACAACTGTGTGTATAACGATGTGAGAACTCATAACACTTTTATTTCAGCTGATGTTAAAAATATTGGAGTTCCCATGTCACCGTGTCTCCCATGTTCCACTTGTACAAAACTCATGCAATGTAATCAAACATATTATTTAGTGAAGCCAGGATTACCGAACTATCAATTCCTCAGTACCTATTTTCTCAGGCAAGTCAATGCTACAATAAATTGTGCTGGCGAATGTGAACTCAATCCCTACTGTCTGTCGTTTTCCTATATTGTTGTAAGTTCGGTATATTCTACTCATCGTTTTAATAATAATAATAATAATAATAATAATAATAATAATAATAATAATAATAATACACAGTCATTTATTGATATTTATGTTATAAATGGTGCTTATATACAAGAGACATTACAAATAAACGTGACTATCAGGTATCGAAATCCACTAAACAGTTTTGATCCTATAGAAAGTCGAACGGTTATCGAGTTGGATGCATAAACCGTGAGAGCATATTGAAATTATTTGGTTTGTTGCAATGAATGATTTGGCCTCGAAATACATTTATTTTCGAACGTGTTGAACTGGTTACTGAGTGTTAGCTAGTAGTATAATGCAATATACTAAAGTGAATGTCGACGAACAGAAATCTACAGGAAACTGTAGCTCAAAAATAATACAGTTACTAAGATACATTCTAGATATGTAGTTTATTGCAGAATAGTGTAATTATACTTTGAGATCTCTTTAAAAATCAAATATGAGTATTGAAATTATTAGGAACATTGATTTGCTCATCAGTTGGAATTTCTTCTGATGATGCCGGCAATATATATCCATGATGAAATCCAAGGTGTGTCCACATATGTTAAAACTAAGACAGGTAACCAATCGATAATGTTCTCAAGGTTAAACAGTGATAAGTTGGTGGACACGAAATGTCCACCTAGGCGAGTTGGAAAACCAGTATTCCAAACCTATGGTTCACATGGACTCCAGGATCCTGAACGAAGCAAATGGTGTGTGAAGCAATTGTTAGTCGCCGACTAACATGTGACTGCATCATCTGATGTTGCTTCATTGTGTTGTGGATCAGCCATTCAGGTCGAAGGCTCCAGGTGTGGCTACCCAAGGAAACCACCTGCATCGATCTGGCCACCAGGACAGTGTCACTGCACTCACACACAAAATACACACTTTATTATGTTCATTCAAGTGAACGATTCACAAACAATATCTTTCCATTTATTGCTGCTTATTAAGAATTTTCTGAAAGTGTACATAAAAACAAAAATCATCTTCATCACATTCAACACAAATTTGTTTGGTATTTATACAGGATCGTCCAAGATGGTGCTCACTATTTAGTGGTGTCATGAATACAACTGTAATATACAATGATACGATGGAACAAATGACTGGTGGGAAAGTATGTTGTGGTAAGTGAAGTATTCACACACACTCACACGTACACACTGCATGTTATATAATATTAGTAATTAAGATTTGTGAATATTATTATTGTTAAAGTGGATAGAATATTCCTGTATGTAGTTGAGGAGAGACTTGTAGTGTATTTGTCAGAGAGCATTATCATATCATTGAATAACATGTAGTAAGACACTTCCTGTCAGTTTCAATGAAGCTACTGGAAACTCCATTTCTGATTCGTGACAAAGATTGTGTAACTCGAATAGATAAGGAATAGACGACCAAATCTACACAAGCTTATTTGTGTAACACCTCACATTGTTAGCATTTCTAGTACATGGTTATAAAGTAGGGAGAGAGTTAAGCTAACACTGTATGTCATACACAATTCATACAGGAATCATTATTCATATCCAATCATCATCAAATGAATCCAATAGTGAACACAATCACTGATTGATTGGATTATTTATCCGTATTGTAGATTGTGTTGCATAATTTTCCAGATTGTTTATATATATACATATATCATTTGTATGAATTCCAGTGGTCCATTCATCAGTGTTCTTCTTTTATACACTTATCATTATTCTATTATTCCTCTTATTCTTCCTCTTATCATAAAACTGTTGTATATGTTCTTGTACTGTTTAACTGTGCGCCATTATTGCTTCATTCAATGTTGTACATTTCACATGGAATACCATTGTGTAATCAACTGTAAATAAATTGTTTATTTAACAATGATAAATTGTCGTTGTTATTGTTGTTTATGATAACTGGTCCATTTAATTACTATTCAATGAGTTAGTGAAACATTTTGTGGATACACTTAAATGTTACTACCATTAATACGGTCAGACAGATTATACTTAAATAAAAACATAAACATACTTCAGTGGTGGTCTGACATCACTCGATTCATGATCTCAATCAAAATGCTAATGATTTTCACAACCCCGTACTGATGATCAGCATGTGCTCATTAGTGACTAGATTCGTGAGTGAATTCTTGGAGTTCTAGTGAGAAGCCGTGATCAGTGGAGCCAATCCGTTTCGGGTAGAAACAGGTATCTATCTCAGTGCAATGGAAGATGGTCGAGCAATTCTGTGTATTGGTTGATGTTAGACATTAACATCGTCGGATACTGACCAGTTCATTGGTCTAGAAATTAGGCTTTCGTTTGAGAGACTGAATGTCCTGTGTTTGGATCCCAGGAGTTGGATCGTGAATATGCACTTCTGAGTAGTCTTATACTAGGACGAATCGATTGTTGAGTGCTTCCTAGTTTTCCATGGTGAGCGAATATCAATTGACTCATGAATTCAACTATCAAAATAATCACATGATAGATTATGAGGTCTTGGATTTTGGTATGAAATTCATTCGTCCGTTTTCTTAAATAGCGTTTTGGCATTTCAGCTAATCTCAGTTCGCGATGAAAACATCAAGTCTAATTCCTAAACACAACCATCAACCTTGAAATCATAATTACAATTCCTCACACTGTTTGATAACTCTCATTTAGTCCTTGTCAGTTAGTAAATGGACATTCATACTGTCACTTTGGCATCGCTCAAATGTCTTCCATAAATTATGGTCTTACCGTATTTTGAATATTGTGGTAACATTTCTCCTAACCCCTAAGAATCATTCTGGATAAGTGAATGCATAAAATTCAATAGGTATTTACTTTCCAGGTTATAATCGAGATCAAAGAAAGTAAACTATTTAGATTAACATTATAGAATTGTGGAGATTTTTGAGGTCCGAGAACTTCTGAGATTCTCATACATAAGCATACACATCGGGTAGCCCGAGAGTTGAATTAAACCTCCGAGTTTCGAACCCAGGATTGATCAGATGCAACAGAGTGAGTGGTCAGTAGATCTCTGTGACCGCCTTAGTTGGCTTGAAGGGTTGCAGCCACTATCTAGCAGCGCCTCGAGGAGGCCTCAGATAAGATTTTACTGCGGCGTAATATGAACCCTCCATTTACGCATACACGGTAAATGAATGATTCCAGTGGATTTATTAAATCACCCAACTAGTATTCACATTTGCTTGTGGATCGTCGGAGTAGTTAGAAAATATTGCAAACCAAAAATGTACAGAATAAATTAATGCGTGCTCATACAACACTCAATCTACGTTCTTGTCTACAAAACAAGACTGTATTCAATGTATGTCAATGTGTTCATTTGGAACAATTTGACGTAAAACAGTAGGCTTTCATTTTGTACAATATGCGTTTTCACAACTTAATGAGTAATGAGATTACGAGTAAATAATTATAATTTGGTTTCAAGGTTGATGCATACTATGAAATGAATACGAATACTAAGTGATTCATATCTCAATCAGACATAGTAACTGATCATTTTTCATTGACGATAAACTTCAGAATGCTAACATGACACGCTTACGAATATTGTGAAATACAAACTAGTTTCCAGATGACTTACAAAAAATTTATTAGTACGAAATGAAAGCTCTGAGTCCATTGATAAAGAAGTGATAATCGAATCCTTGAGAAGCACTTTACAGATAGCAGAAAGATTTATGAACCAATGTATTGTGATTATTCATTGTCATATGGACTGATTCTAGTCGTGAAATTCAACCGGAAGCATTACAGTAGTAGCGTGGTGTGTGCTACTGACGTCGATAGGTATAAGTTGTATGTATCGTCAGTCGAGAGTGAAATACCTGCCAGCAGAAGGTTAAAAAGATAGAAGAATAAAGATCGAGAATGGATAATGTTTGGTGTGTAAATGAAGGAACAGTCAATGGGAATGAATCTCCTTGCATTGATCCAACGCCTTGTGGATCACACCTTTAGGCCAAGGGCTCCGGGTGTAATTTCTCAAGAAATCCACCTGCTACGATCTGGGCATTCGAGCAGTATCGCAGCCCACACACAAATCAAGTGACTTATGTGGTGCATATTTATTCCGTGTCCCTTTGTACCAAGATTTATATGTTCAAATAAATAAATAAATATTTTGATTGATTTATCAATCAAACGAGCGGTAACTGAGTTAATTTAAGTCTGTGGTCTGTGATATGAATTGGTCGATGTTTTCGACTCATCTTGCATATCAATATATTTAGTACTAAAAATTAATAGCAAGAGAGACTCAAACATTCATGCAAATGGATAAACATTAAAAATCAGTCATCGAAAAATAAATAGAAAATAATCAATAAGTTGAATAGGCTATATTTATTAGTAACATCAGTCAGTACTCCATATCGAAACTGATTTAGGCAATTTCCTCCTTAGATCAGTGATCTAAAAAGGTTACAGATCTCTCTGTTTAACTGAATTTTTCACAAGTGGTCAGTGAAGTAAGATGTGATAGATACAAATTAGTAACTATCTGGTCAGTACTCTTGAAGATAAAATATTTGGTTTAATAGCAGTCAAACCCAGGACATTAAAAAGAAGATTCATCATTCGAATTCATACAGAAATTTCAGTGACAGTTACTGACATATGCACGTCAAAATCCAATTCCTATTGTGATAGCTTTAGTGACTCGTAATGCGAAATCTAAACTGTGTGTTCAAACTGATCTTTTCTTTATAATTAAGGCTATTGAAATTGTTGTAATAAAAATTTTTGAGATCTGTGTAGACTGAATAAATGAAATGTTTGGCTGAAACAGTATACATTTTATTTTCACTCTCTAGTTTAATGATCTTGTTACATTCAATTTTTGTAATTAGTAGTTTAATGAGTAGTTTGGGATGATAATCGGAAAAGTTTAGTTCTAGTGAGAAGCCTTGACTAGTGTAGTTTAACCAAGTCTGTTATGAGATGGTAACTCACTGAAGACAATCGTGGACAGTGGCGCAATTTCGTGGATTGGTTGAAGTTAGACAGTGACACCGTTCGATTCCAGGAGGTTCAGTGGTCTAGAGGTTAAACGTTTGCACACTCGAGATCGGTCATAGGTTCGAATAAGCGTGCGGAATCATAGATGCGCACTGCTAAGGAGTTCCATACTAGGAAAAAACGGCTATCCAGTGCCTCCAGGTTTTCCATGGGGTCTAGCTTCAATTG